TGATACCACTGATGGGTTTTATGTACTCTAACATTCCTATGGTGCACATACAACCCTAATGTTTTGGATCTAATTTTTTTCTAATTATACATGCAATATTGGTTTCCAAAGCATGAAGCTTAAACTAGCATACACAATTTGACATATGAATCATAAAGCTAGTTAGAGGATTACCTTTTGATGTAGCTAGTAGAACTTTGGCCTTAAGGAGCTTAGCACCTCAAGTGTGATACCTCAAATGTCTTACAACAAACCAAAGAACAAAAGGAGGAACTTGAGATAGAGTTTAGTGAGCACAAAATCAACTAGCTTCTTTCTTTGTGTGCATAGGGGGGTAATTTTAGGGAGTTAGGGGTTTCTTTTATAGCCTAGAGTTTCATCCATGCAAACCCTAATCACCCATGACTCTTCACATTACATACGCCTATTGGGCTAAACTTTTATGGACTCTCATATAGGTTTAGTCCAACCCTAGTCAACATGGATCATGGGTCCAACTATAAGTATTACTGATTTACCTAATTAGTCCCAGTAACTTTAATCAGTTTCTTTTTATCACTAAATTAATTCCAAATTAATTCTTGACCAATACTAATCAACTAATTCTGATGGATTTTGATACAAAATATAAGTGTGTTTTTCATAAAAACCGTAACGAAAGTCTTATAAAAATAACAAGTTTATTTTAAAGTTTATAACAAAACCAAACCATCTAGGATTCATTTATAGATGTTAGAATGATATTAAAACAACCAAAGAATGTTTTAGAATGACAACCTTTGAAGCCTTTGAACTGACTTGGTTTCGGGGTGTTGATGAAGATTGTAAAAATTTAAGAATAGAATTTCTCTATGTGTATCCACCATCAAGAATAAGGCGCCAAGAAATGCTAGTTTCCTATTGTAGTACTTTGTTCTTTAAGCCTTTAAGTTCTTATCAAAATAAGCACTAAAGGAAGATACAAACCAAAAATCCAAATCAAGCAACTAACTTCAAAAGGTAGAGAATGAGTAGAGAGAAAGAAGTCACGACTTCTATGAGAGAAATGCAAGTCCAAAAGCTAGTAACTTTTGATCATAAGACCTTCTTATATATCACATGCATGCAAAAAGGCTATACCTTTTTACAAAATAAAGTAATCTAATAGATAAGAGGCATGAGGAACAAGGTATGGAGGTTGACAAGCAACCTCCACACCCTTCAAAAAGTTACGGCCATATGGAGGGAGGAAGAAGACAAAATGTTGTTTTATGTTATTTTAACTAAGGACCAAAAAACTAGTTAAGTCATTTATACCCAAAGTGTCCAAAACATTTGTACATGACTTATAAATCATACTATAAGATGTAATGACTAGTTTGTCTTCCCTTTTATTATTATTATTTTCATAAAATAATAATTTTTCTCTAATTAAATACAAGAGTTGAATTTATTTATTAATAATCAAATACTTAATAAATATATAATAAGTGCCAACTTGATAAAGGTGTGACCCTGTAGGATCATATGTTATTAGCAATATCATTTAATAATGATTCTTGAGCATATAAATCCAACAAATTCCTCTGAAACTTTCATAGGCAATGGAATTGGTTAAGCAATCCTGCCACAAAGCTGGAAAAATGTTTGTTCCTTTTGAATATTTCACACGGTTTGATCCTTTCCACAATATCCTTTTTTATTCATATCCAGAAAACTTCACTAACAATTCTCTTGTAAGTTATTTCCTTCCCAACGTGACCATCTGTTAGAATTTCATGAAACTCACTAGATGATTGCTAAATAAAGGTGCAATTTTAAGAATTACTAACTGATATTTAAACAAGAGTAGCACTTGATGACATGAAAACCCATTGTGAGAGTTGGCATCCGCCATGTCATCTTGAGTATGTAAAAACACATCATCTTGTATATGTAGCGCACCCCAACCATTCCATTTCGGCCCTTCCATGACTGCACATTCGATGTTTGGTTTCATTCTTGACAATGTATTTGGTGCTTTGTTCGTGGCTGTAGTTTTATAAAAATACTAAAATTATACCTTACCAATTTACTATCCCACTTTTGATATTCAGGTTAAATAACCCTTCGATCCAGCAAAAATATCGAACTTTATTGATCGGTCCGAACTATGAACTTCCTCCCTAACAAATATGGTCTCCACTTCTTAACCGCCAAAACGACAACCATTAATTTCTTTTTCATACAACGACTTTAATTGTGCCTGTTTTCCTAATTATTGGCTACGGTAAGCTATAAGTTTCTCTTGTTGTATTAGAAAAACTCTTAAGCAGTATCCAGACGCATTTGTTTCCAACACGAAACGTCGAGAGAAATCGGGTAAACAAAGTGTTGGAGTATTTATAAGAATGTTTTTTAACTATTCAAATGTTTGTGGTGCTATCGTAGACCATGCAAATTGATTCTTCTTGAACTATAACAATGACTAGCTGATCGATGTGATGTGGTAAATTGTGTTGTGTTGAAGAATACTCTGAAAAATATACAATGAAATGTGGTGATATCTAGAAATATATCGTGAAGATATGTGAAATGAAATTATAAATATTATTATGGAAGATCTTAGAAATGATTTTTTTTTTTGTTCTTTTTTTTGTTTTTTTGCATTTTTGTAGACGAGTCATGTAACGTGTATTCTAAATAATAAATGGCATTGGTTTTGCATTTGTTAATAGAAACAATGGAATTATAGACATGTTTGTTGGACTTAGAAATGTTAGTGACATTTCAACTTTGTCACTAAAAGCTACTATTTACGGTATGCTCTCAAAGTGCAAATTGAGTTCCACTAAGATCAAAGGGCATGACTATTTTGGTGCTAGTAACATGAGTGGTGCATTCAATGGAATGAAGACTTTGGTTATGAATGAAATAAAATATGCACACTTTGTTTATTGTTTTTATCATTAGTTACAGTTAGTCATGGTGTTTGATGCAAGTCATGCAACGAATCACACAAAGGTTAATGATATTTATATGGTTTCTCAACTGTTAAACATTGTTGGATCTTCCTACAAGCGACAAGATAATTTAAGAAGAAAGCTAGCAACTAAAGTTTTTTCAACATTGACCGAAGGTTTGCTTTGTACTTGATTGATTATTTAACTATTTTTATTTGTTTTATGTTAATTAACTTTTCATATGGTAAACTTTAGGTGGGCTTGAGAGTGGTACCTTTTTAAACCAAGGAGTAGGTATAAAAACGACCATATGATACTCGATAGGGTTCTCATTTTGCATCTCTAGTAAATATTGATACCATATATTCTTCCATTTGTAAAGTACTTAAAGACCTTGATGATGATAATAATGATGGTTAATATATTGGGAGTCACAAATTATTTGAATACAACATTAGAAAGAAAAGACCATGATATTGTAAATTCCATGAATCACGTAAGTAACTTTAAAAACAATGCAAGAAATGAGGGATGTAAGATAGGAGCCACTTTTAGGAAATGTTACTTTGTTTTGTGATAAATATGTTCAAATCCTGGATGTAGAAGATGCATATTATAATGGAATCAGTCGTCGAAGAGGTTCACATGTTAGTAATGTGTCATGTATGCTAATAACACGTTGATTTTTTATTGTGTTTTGTCATTCTTGTTATTTACAGGTTACCAACTTGCAACACCATCACATTGATGTATTTAATGGCGGATATTGACATGAAACTTCAAGAGCTAAACCATCACTTTAATGAAGTCAACACAAATTTACTTTTTTTCTATTGCTTTTTTGTGCCTAAGTGAATCATTCAAAGACTTTGATTTAGATAAATTAATGGAATGACTACACTTTATTAGAAAGAATTTCCAACCGAATACGATCTTTGAATTCTTGAATTGAAACTTAAAAAATACATTAAGGATGTACGAGAAGACGAACGATTTAATTAGTTAAAGAGCATTGAAGACCTTGCCAAAAATATGGCCAAAGAAAAAAAAAACAATCTTTCTTAAGATTCATCTTCTCTTGAAACTTGCATTCATCTTACCCTTTACAACATCAAATGTGGAACGTGCATTTTCAGTAATGAAGTTGGTAAAAACCGATACACACAACAAAATGAGTGATCAATTTCTAAGTGATAATTTAGTGTCATATATTGAAAAAATGTTTTTGAAAATATTAATAATGACACAATTATGAATATATTTCAAGGTATAGGACCTAATTACATTCGATTGTAAGAACTTTAATATAACTATTGGATACATGTTTAAAAATATACGACCTGGTCTGCCAATTATTTGTTTTTTTATCGGTTTCACTTAAATAAAAAACCATGCAATTTTATGTTTTAGATTTGACATTGTGTATGAGTGTCATTGATGACTTGCGAGGAATAGATAATGTTGCATTATATAGTTGGTAGATATCCTTCCCTTGCTCGAGAATATGTAAACTGCCAATTTTCATTATTTTTCGTTTACAATTCGAGTACATAAAAAATTGTAACCTTTTATATTTTTATTCCAAATCAAAAACTCCAATAGCATGATAACTTCATTTTGTCTTTTTTATAACTTTTCTCTCTCTCCCAATTCATTTCCTCTTTTCTATTTAAAAAACTCGAAAACAGGATATAAGCAAAATGATAAATAAAAAGGATTATTCAAAGGGTTATAGTCACTGTAGCCAAACAATCTTTAGTATAATGGTTTAAATGGTTCCTCATGTTTTTTTCCTTTAAAGGGTATCAACTTGTATTTTACCGGTCATTTTGATACTTTTACCCACATTAGAAGGTAACACTGCATTGTCAAGTGCCAAGTAAGAAGGTAAGTCAATAATATCCCCAAAATCTTGAAAACCTGCAACAACTACAATGAAACATGGTGTCACACTCCTCTAAAAATCTATACCCACACGTCGATCAGTCAAACCCAGATTCATATTCCTCATTTTCGTCATCAAATCATTCTGTTGTACTTCTTTGCATTTTCCGGTGACGCTCCAACTTCATCTTCGTCTCATTTCGACGGCCATCCAGTCTCCGAGATCTGAACTGGGAGCTTCTTGTAACCTAGCGATGATAGAGCGGCGTAGACCGCATCGATCTGAGTGAACACCATGTTATCGTAATGCAATTTGGTACCTGGATCAACGATTCCAACATTAGGTTGAAACAGAACGATATAAAGCGAAACTTGCTTCAGATCAGCTTTGTACGTGAAGAACGGATAAGCATTGACGAGGAATGGAGAGCACGTTTACAAGAGGAAATCTAAGATCAGAGCGATACATCCTTTCAGATATTGTCGGAAAGCTCTCGTCGATGGCGGATACGAAGATTGAAGAATAACAACAAAATGTGCAGTGGTAACATTAACCTGACTGACTAATTTCAGATTCACAAGAGCAGTATGTAGACTCTGCATCGTCGGAAGAAAACACCCAGATAGAGATGTATCATTGAATGTCAATACTTCATTTCCGACGGTAATGGAGGTGATTTTAGTCGCCGATAAGTAACACTGAACATTAGCCTTCACCCAAGCTTGAGCATTAAATGGATTTGTCATCTTCGAAAGGTACTCATTACCTAACCCCACAATAAACTCAAACCCAGTGTTTGCAAAAGCTTTGAGCGCCTTAGGATCGACAACATAGAGCTTCACTCTGGTGGCACCAATGGATTTTACCAACGGAACCACATGCTCCGGTGAAGGAAGATTGTTGGCGATCTGTCTATAGTTTATCCCTACCGAAGCCACTAACACGGACAATAAAAACCCCACACGAAACAATAACCAAAATCAACAAAATAGAACGGAAAATTGAGAAAACACCAAAATTTAAAGATCACATTACCAGTAAATAGAAGAGCAAGCTTTGAATCAACAAAATAGAACGGAAAACTGAGAAAACACCAAAATTTAAAGATCACATTACCAGTAAATAGAAGAGCAAGCTTTGAATCTTCCTTGGATGAAAGAGGTGGAGAAGATGGAGGAGGTTTTGGTTATCTATATGATTGAAAGGTAGGGAGAGTGACAACAGTAGTTGTAGCAGAAGTATTTGATTCTAGGACGTTTCTTCATTATAATCAATCGTCGTTGCAGGTTGAGGTCGAATATGCAAAACCTTGGCAAAGGTACGAGCCAATCTACTCTTTCTTGGGGTCACAACTAATCGATTAACTAAATCCATGTGAAAGAAACAAGTTGAAACTGTTTATGAGCCTATCTCTCTTTGTAAAAAATTTTACAAGCAAAACCAATAGGAAAAGATGCGAAGACGAAGCTGTGATGGTGTATCTGAGGGAATAGGCAAAGACCTTTGACTTTTGAAAGTCAATGTGGGTTGAGGAAACTGATGATTAGGATGAGGGAAACCAGCGTGACATATGCAAAATGATGATTAGGATGGGGGTCTCCGGGTGACCCCTTCAAATTTTCCATAATGACCTTTTAAAACCTAAAACTACAAGTTCGTACCCTTCAAAGGCAACCGACAATAACAACAACATGGGGCCATTTAAACCATTATACTAAAGATTAGTGGGCTACAGTCACAATAACCTTTATTCAAATACATATAAACATATGAAACTATCCACATTATGGTACTATATTATTTCACATAAGTGTCTTCTAAATTATTAAGTTCATTTACATCGTCACACATCGCTAAAAAAATATCGTCAACCTCGATATCTATGATATCTTCCTATGGCTATTTTGGTAAGAATATAAGAACTCCACATATCTCACATGGTATCAAAGGTTTTTAAAAGATTAAAAGTTCATGCTTAAAAAAATTTAGAGACATAATCCTTAGATTGATTGCTAATGAAGCAAGGAAGAAACTCTTAACTGTTGATCAATTCGCTTAATCGAAACGCTTAATAGGCCGTCGTGGGGAAACGTAATTCTGAAGGGTAAACGTCATCCCCATTCTCAAGGCCAACATGGGGAAGAAGGAACTTTCATGCTAAAACTTGAGATCTCATATATGAATTCTTACCTCCTTATGTCGTTGGAAAACCATATTTTCTTTCTATAACGGAAACTGTTACGGCTGTTGCCAAGACAACACCTTGTAATGTAAACTCCAAACATATGACATTTTTATTGGGTTGAAATTTGATGAGATTTTGAAATGAAACGAATAATATGGTCATTAGGGGTGAGCATTGTGCGGTTCGGTGCGGTTTTTAGAGATAAACCGCAACTTCGGTTTTCTGAAATTTAGAAACCGCACCGTTCGGTTTTTATGCGGTTCGGTTTTTGTGGTTTTTTATTGCGGTTTTTTGTGGTTCGGTTTTTTTTGCTTTTTTTTGTTAGTTTTTTTTTTCGTTTTGCCTTTTTACTAAAACTCAAGTAACTCAGCGAGTTACTTTTGACTCAGATGAGGAGTGCTAATCATTTATTGGAGATAAACCGATACCACCACTCCTTTGTTTGAAATCAAATTACATAACCACTCATCCAACATGTTTCTAATGCTTGAATATAATACGAATTTAATATAATATTGTTACACAAGTACATACGATAATATCAATTAATGTATTCATAAAAATGATACTATATCACTAGTACTATTCATATTTAAATGTTAAAAATTGTCACAAACATTATTTGTTATTGTAAATACCACTGAATGTATGCTTAAAAATATACAATCATCATCCGATAGATAAGATAGTTATTTATATTTATAGAAAATTTAGTTTTCATAAGTTCTTGATATATATATATATATATATATATATATATATATATATATATATATATATATATATATATATATATATATATATATATATATATATGCGGTGCGGTTCGGTTTTTTGCAGTTTTTGCGAGACTAGAAACCGTACCACACCGAGTATTTTCGGTTTTCGCAAAACTAAAAACCGCACCATCGGTTTTCATTTCGGTTTCGGTTTTTCGGTTTCGGTTTATACGGTTTTTTTGGTTTGCGGTTCGGTTTTTGCTCACCCCTAATTGGTCATAAAGTGGGGTAGAATGTAGTCGATTTGTACAAGTTGTTGATCAACTTCAACTAGATTTGTTATATGTCTGGTTGCGTTTAAGCGACGGCTGTAGACCATATAACGTGGGGGTCGGGTCTATCGTAATAATAGTTTGATGTGGGTTGGGTATTTAAATTAAGCAACTTTGGAGAGTCCGAAATATGATCTGTTTTGCCTAGTCTTTTAGAGTTTTGTCTTCTTCACATGGGTGGAGCTTATAGGAATAAAATTAATGGTAATCTGGCTATATACATAACAGATAACAATATACTTATACTTTCACTCATTAATTTATTATATCATTTTATTTTCATTCTCTATATCAAACCATTGTAATTTTTTTTTATCAAAACATTATACTTCAAAACCTACCAATTAGTTAAAAGAAATTTTAAATTTTATTATTAGAACATTGTATTTTAATTTTTCTTTTGAAATTTACCATGTACACGGATAAGCCTTCAATAACTAGGTACATTTTTCAAAATACAATTTTAAAATAAAAATAAATAAAAGTAAGATATTACGATTAAAAAAAAACTATATTGTTGTTATACTTTGTACTTAACTCTGAATTTCATAAACAAGGAAAAAAAAAAAAAAAAACAAGAAGTTGCATTGTGCACCAATAGTGCATAAATATTACATATGAGAGCACACCTAGTATATAGCTGGCAGAACGAGAAAAAAAAAAACATGAAAGATAATATAAGGTTATTGTTGAGTGAGGTAAGCAAACAAGATTAGAATTTTATTCAAACACAAACACGTAAGATCAACTGCAATATACCTTGTTTAAGTAGTTAGAATCGAAGGAAGATAATCCGATTTCACTCCAAGAACACGCGCATTCGTATCCGGGAAAAACTCCGCTCCGGGCAGTTCGGTCACGTCTCCTTCACTAGTAACACCGACCGGATAACGAAGCAAGTGACCAGGGAGATCAGTTTCAAGAGTCTCATCGGCATATAGATCCCAGTATTTATCTGCAATTTGGTTTACTTTTTTCACACACTCAATGTTCTCTGGATGCTGGAAGCTGTCATCAAGCATACCAAGATGTTCATACCATAACGCCATACGAAAACCATGAACTTGACCCCTTGCGGGTTTTCGGGTAGCAAGATGATGAGGTTGGTAAGCTCCCATTGCTATTTCAGAATCCCGTGCCCCATCCATCGATCGTTGATTAATGTTTGCAGATCCCACTATTATATATTCGTCATCAACTGCAATAATACAATAATGTTAGTTAGTAGTATATTTTATTTTTTTTAGTTTTTGGTTCAATTTGTTGATTACCTATCATCATTTTGGCATGGACGTAGATCATGAAGCGTCGGGCTTGTTGGGCTTTATGGTAATTTGATTCCGGCTCCGGAGCCTCCGAAGGCTCATACTCACCATCCTTTTTCATTTCACGATTCCCAAGGCAAAAGAAAGTGAGGTAATCTCTAGGGTCATCTTCAAGCCCTTTGTTTTGTAAAGCTTGAATAATATCTTTATACATCATCTCCATCGTCCTCCTTTGCCAATCAAGTATCGCTTGAACGGAAGCACTCTCCGGGATCCCTTCCGGCCACATCGGAACCACAACATAAACGGTAAACTTCTCTCCGGCGTTGATCTTGCTCGCAATCTTTAACGAAAGTTCTTTTGGGATTAAATGTAACGCTCCCACATCTTCAACCTTAATATCATCGCACTGCCATCCGAAAGAGCTTCCAAGAAAATACTGATTCTCGATGTAAATAAAGTTCTTCGCTCGACGAATCGCGTGGATGTAAGCATCTTGAATACTCCGATCGATTATGTTATCTTTCCCGCTCACAAGTCCCGATTTCGCCGCCTCTTCTGGCGTCTCCGGGAACCCAAACGCCGCACCACCGTCGATCGACCGGAATAACTGGACGTTCCATGTTTCTTCGTCGTCAGGGAGCATGACGGGAGACGGTGGGATGATGATGTCATCAAGCTCTCTAAAGTTAACCAGAATGTTCTTCCCACCTTGTTTTTTCCAACGTTGTTCGAAGTTGAACAAAACATCCCACGCGATTTGACCTTCAAGTCGCGAATGGATGTCGTGCCATGGCTCACGTGGCCCACCTTTCGTGATGCTCCCGTCGACGTAGTTAGGTTGGTGGAAATCGCCGCTGTGAGCGGTGTCCAACGTTCGGAAAAGAGAATGAAACGGCGTATCGTAACGTCCGTCACAAAGGTCAAGTCCACCGACAAAACTCACCACGCGCCGCCTTTCCGTATCCCCATTCGGCATTTCAGCATCAACGACTATAATTTTCTGGTGGTGAGTGAACATTGTTGAAATTTGAAGGTCCTGAATGAAACTTCCACCATCATCTGGATTACGTGGACATAAAACGCAATTCACTTCACAACCATTGAAAAAGTTTTCAGTGTCTTCATCATGAGTCGCCATTAATCCATCTTTCTTCAACACATCGACAGAAGTTCTATCGTCCCAAACAAGCATAAGCACCTTAACACCTTCGCTTGCTTTCTTCTTCAAAAGCTCACCGAGTATGACGTCACCTCCTTCCTTTTGTCTTCTTGAATCTCTTATCAAAGAAATCTCAGTGTAAACAGACCAGCCAGTGATATAAATGAAGTGTTTCGCATTTGTGATTGCATCAAACACATCTTCCCAACATCTCTGTGGTTCGTAATACTTGCCATTGGAAAGGGGTATTTTGGGGATGAAATTATCAGGGACATGGGCGTCTTGATACAATGAAACCCGACAACCTTGTCTTTGAGAAAAAAAAAGTATACGGGACTCCGGGATACTTGGAGCTTTTGATTCCGTGATCCCAGTTACGATCTTGGGTGACATCGAAGTAGTGTAGTTTGACATGGATTTTTGAACCGGATTCAATCGGGTTTTTTTCATTATCCAAGATTTCAACCCATCGATCTACTTCTTCTCCATCTAGAAGCTCTTCGATAGGAATGTAAGCTCTTCCGATTAGGGTTGCGCCAATGGGGTTATCGTCTTTGACAGTGAAGATTACGTCAGAAGCTAAATGGGCACAGTAAATGTGGAAAGATTCATTCCATTTTGGGTGTTCTGGTTCGTTTTCTAGTAATCTTGTTCGACCTACTCTGCATTTGTCTAGATCGATTGTTGCGTACATTTTTGGGGTTCCTTTCCCGAATCCAACTGTCTCCTCTATGTTGGACATCAACTGCAAGAAGAATGCATCATTGAGAAATTTCACGAAAATATGGATGGATAATTCGCAAATGTTTGTGTATATTCTGATTTTGATAAGCTAAAAGAATTAAACGTGAAAGGTAGAACTGTTACTCGATTGTATACAGGTAATAAGCCAATTAAAGAAACAAAATCTTATACAAAAACAGAATAAAGCAAGAAAAACTAAAAACAGAACAAGGAAAAAGGTAAATAAAAGCAGGAAAATGAGAACAATGAGGATATGATGTTAAACGAAGAAGGATTTCTTTATAATTAAAGTTTCCCTTGTTTGTGTAAAAAATTGTAATATATTTTCACTTGATGAGAAGAATAATTCAAATTAAGAAGCAAATTGTGTGAATAAATTATACTTGCACATAAACGACCAGAATCATTCAAATTAAGAAACAACGTGTCTGAATTAAAATATCTGTAACTGAATGTATGATTGAACGAATTTAATGTCACTCTAGGGTCCAACAATCATCTCAATGATCATCCAGGAAAATCACAAATCAAATCTCATCCAATTGTCAAGAAACTAAAAAGATGAAACTGTATTCTTTTGTCTTTATGTTATTATATACTGCCGAACCAGAAGAATAGCTATGTGATCTCTAAACCAGGAACTAAATAAGTAAATATGCATCTGATCCTGTTATTCAAAATGAAAACAAATTAACCAACATAAAGTTGGATATATGTTGCCTACATTGAGAAAAGGATGCGATTCTGCGGAGTTTCAATCGATGTAGAAAGAATGAAATTGACATCCATTTTCGGATCAAATAATAAAAAAAACTTAGAATATACCTTCCCGAATAGATTACGCCCACCGCCATAGCCATGAATCTGATCAACCTCGTAGATCGTGGCATGAAGAGTTCCATGGAGATGTGTCCCTGCCATTTTCTACCCTGCGACTGCGAGCACAATAACGCGATTTAGTTCGTAAGTTCAAATCGCAACTATAAATCCATACATCAAACAAACAATTATAGAAAACACGTATTCGCACCAATCCAGACTAAAATAACTTGGAAATATCACGATTTACAGTGATATCGCTAGATCAAGTGATTCAGTCGGACCAAGTCTTAGTACAGTTAAATTGAATCCATGGAACATATGAACTAATCAATGAAAGGGATGATGTAAATGAGTAGCTTACTCTGACAAAGAAATCAGAAGAGATCTGAAGGTGGAGAATGTGATCGGAAACTTGACTGATGCAAGTATTAATTGGGAGGAGACGGAGCTTGAAGGAGACCGCGATCCGTGATTGCAGCCGTTAAAAGGCTCAAAGCTCGTCAACGGAAAATGTGAACTTTGGGGAGGATTGTTCAAAAGGTAGGCATGGGATGTTATATATAGAGGGATATTCTATTATTTTTACATAAAATAAAATTAAACAATAAAGGTACTACCGTACGGTACAATGTATTATTTGGTTTGATGAATATGAAGATTCAATAAATAACCATTATTAATTATCGAATTAATGAAATCAATTTAAAATGTCGTAATTTAAAGCGATCAACGGCAAAAAGAATGTTGTATACTTTTACAATTAACGCACATGCATCAGATTATAACAAGATCCATTTTGTTTCCTTCATTATTTTAGGTCATGTTTTTTATCGAAAACAACCGAATATATTATTGTTCATGATTTTTCCTCCATTTTCCATAAAGATCCATATTGATATACAAAAAAAAAAAAATCAAAATAACTCACTTCATTTCTTTGTTTTTTGAAAAAGTTAAGGTCTATTTTTTATCGAAAAAATTTAACAAATATATCAAAATTCATATTTTTTGTACTCTTTAAACATAGATTCATATTGATATAAAAATGATTTTTTAGTTCAAATTCATATTGTGAATCTGCTCAGATTCACATGGTAATCTACTCAGATTCACAATATGAATAATAATAAGTCAGATTTACATTGTGAATTCTGAAAACTAAATTGTATATAGTTTAGATTCACAATGTGAATAAATCCATTTATTGATTTTACAAAACTAATTTACTCTTAATCACAACGTTAAAATATTATAAAATTAAATGAAAATATATTTCGATTAATATGTAGATTTCATTAAATTAATTTGTGAATGATCATAGAGTTGAAATAGTAAGTCAGATTCATATTGTGAATGTTAAAATTGAACTATTACATTTCAGATTCATAGAGTAAATCTGAACTGAACGAGATTTTTTTTTTTAATTTTTAAATCGATTTTGATGTTAATTAATAGAGGACAAAAAATTGAGATTTTTGGTTTACTTAGTTTTTTTGGATAAAAATAAACTTAAATATTGAAAAAAAAATGAGTTTTTTTCGAAAAAAAAAAGTTTTTTTTTTTTATATATCAACATAGATCTATATTGAAAGATGAAGAAAAATCACGAACAACGTTATATTCGGTTTTTTTTCGATAAAAAACATGGCCTAAAAAAATTTAACAAAAAGAAAGAGGTGAATTTTTGGTCTAATCCAGTGTATGTGCGTCCAATGTGCATGCATACATACATTCTTTTGGCCGTTGATCATTATGATTTTGATGCTCACGATTGGTTCCTTACACCCTGTTCCCGAGTTCAACTTAACGAGATAAAGGAAAGGAAATGGGTGGAAATGAGAAGAAAATAAAAGAAATTGGTGTTCCCGAGTTTCATTAAATGAGGGAAGTGGAAGGAAGTGAAGAGAAATGGGAGGATCACTTTCCCTCCTAACTTTCCTTCCGATTTGGGAGGATTTGGAAAGAAAGAACAAAATGATTCATTTTCCAACCACTTCTCTCCAACTCGGAAACACAAAAGAAAATTTTGTTTTTCTTTCCTTTCTCTTATTTTCTTTCATAACTTTCTTTTCTCTTCTCTTCTTTTCTTTTGTTAAACTCAGGAACGAGACGTTAGTTCCTTGTTAATAATAGTTCTCTATTGAACCTCACCCTATATATATATATATATATATATATATATATATATATATATATATATATATATCTTTATATACTTATAAAGGATGCATTTTTTCTTGCACCATATTCATTTGAAACCCCCAAAACATTTTTCCTAAAACCTTATTTATTTGAAACTCCCAAGACTATTCAACTTATATTATTTAATTTATGATTAATTGAAATGTTGTGATTTGTAACTTCAAAAACTCTTCAAATCATGCTATTTAATTGATATGTTAAATGAAATATTTAGTCTATATAAGAACATTGTAGCTTGCATATTGCATGTATGTCAACACAAAATGATAGATTATATTGGTGGAGTTTGAAGAGTTTGAAGAGTTATACGATTGGTTCCATGGATGTAAGAGAACCATTGCAACTTTTCTAAATGTAAATGCAAGTAAATGCAAATTTGGTACATGTAAATTATTATAAATTAACCAAGCTTCAAATTTGGTTATATGTGTAAAGGTATACTTGAGACAATTTTTTTAACTTTATGTGTTATGGATTTTTTTTATAATCATAAGATGATGAAGTGAGACTAATAATTACTTCTCATGAGCTTTTGATAAATCAATCTTTAAGCTATTTATCAGTTAGAGCAATTAATTTTGTTAACATGTATGTACTTTTATGTTGTCTTTCTCTTTTATGTTAAGACAATCTATTTTTCGGTCCAAGAGAACATTATTCAACATGTATTTTATGTTATTAGTTATATATTATGTTAGTTTCTATTGTTTATTATGGTGGAAATAACATCGATGGAACTTTTGATAATTGATTTTGATAAAAAACAAAAAAAAAAAAGAGTTTACATTTATTATTCCAAAGTGTTAGTGATAGTGATGAATTAGAACGAATGATTTTAAATATGATATGGATTTATTGTTGAAAACCAATGATTATTTATGTGTTATAAAAATACATTCATTATGTTTTCGCAAAATTTATATGTATGTATCCATTTTTTAAATGTTTTTTATAGTAATAAAAATAAGTACTCTATTATATCTTATTACATTAATCAATTTCCTTTTTCTTATTCGTTCTTCACCTTAAAGTTAAAGTAAAACTAAAGAAAATATGAATACTTTTATAAGAAAATATAAGTGATAAAAATATACTTTACATGTCACACTTCCCACTCCATAACTCACTCTTAACATGAATTTTTTTAAGTTTTTTTTTAAGATTGGTCTTAGTACTTTACAATCATCACTATAACTTTCAATTTCAAATCACTATTTTACTTGAACCATTCATTCTATTCCAATGGTTATTTTAAAAAGAGTTGAAAAAATGAGTTTTGTCGCATCAACGGTTATTTCAACACAATATTTTTATAACAATGTTTTTATATATCAAATGTATGTTGATTTCTAAATATTCTTTTTGAATGATGTATAAGTGTTTAATAAGTTTTCTTTGATGTAAATGTTATACTAAATGTTGTAATGTTTTTATATTGTTAAAAGTTGTAGTAATTTTTCATATTATTCTATTATTTTTTTCATTCTACTTTTTTATTTGATATATATAGAAATCAACATACGTTTGATATACAATTTACACAACATGAAACGGTCTATAAAATCATCAATTAATAGTAGAAATAACCAATGATATAAACTTATTACAACTAATAAAACTAATAGGTTAACTATATGTGTTATTTTGCTACTGACATTGATTTTTGCATTTATAAATACTAAATCACAATTTGTAAAATTTTATTATTTTAATTAAATAATTATATTCGCGCGCAACGCATGAGGATTCGCCTAGTATATATATATATAATATATATATATATATATATAGATATATATATATATATATTATATATATAGAGAGAGAGAGAGAGAGAGAGAGGATGGTTCAATTGAGAAAAAAAAATGTTGAGAATGGGGGAATCATTCTCAGCCAATCATTTAATTAGCATCTTAACATAAAATACACGGTGGCAAACCTGTAAATATGATATAATATCCTTCAATCACAGAGACGTAACTGTGGATAATTAGATAACAGTTCAAATATATTACTAATCCATCGTTCATCATCCAAATTTCTTCTCCAACCTTCAACGATCATCTAGATTTCTTCAATTAAATCATTGATCTACATCATCCATTGTTAGTCAATCACCGATTTTCGTCAATAACACGTTTATCAACACCATTCAACAGTAGACAACAGAAATTCGTTTTTGGTTCTTTCAATCCAACCTTCAATTCTGCTTGAATACGAGCATATCTTCAACATCTATGGTTAATTATACTCCCAACGTCATTAGATCAACATCATCAATAATCAACAACATTTCCACTTCATATCATCCATTCAACATCGATCATCAAACGAAACTTCGAAATTAAGGTTAGAAAAACATCAAATCATTTTTTTTTGAAAAATTTCATATAATTCTCTATTAATCTACTATTTTGTAAGTTTTAAATAGCAAAAGTATTGTGTTTTTAGCATTTTTTAAAAAAGCTAACTTGTATGCACTCCAACTGTTTGATGAAATGCATAAACTAAATTACCACGTTATATTCACATATGAATATGTTTTCGTACCTGAATCAATATATGATTATTAAAACACAAAAACAAATATGCAAGTCTATATGTTATTCATATGTGAATAACATATAAAAATTATATATATTTGAGAATACACCTTGTAATATTCATATGTGAATATACTGTATAATATTCACATATGAATATATCGTCTAATATTATTCATAAGTGAATATTAAATCTAATATTTACAAGTGAATATACTATGTAATATTCATATGTGATATATCATATAATACTATGTAATATTCACATATAAAGATACCATCTAATATTCATAAGTGAATACACCATCTAATATTCACAAGTGAATATAATATGTAATATTCATATTCACAAGTGTATATACTATATAATATTCATATGTGAATATACTGTGTAAATTGCTATTATTATGAACTAACAATATATTTTTTTTTTATCATTTTTGATGTGTATTCACATGTTTTTTCAGGTATGGATATAACTCAATAAATGAATAACATTTCAATCAATGGTTGGTTCATATCCCAGTGGTTGACGATTGGTTGATGTAATTGAGAATATATCATTGACGAAGACAGTATATTTTTATATTCATGTGTAAATGTTATACAATTTAATATATTCTTCATTTTGATCGTGTTAAATTCAAATGCGAATGATATTCATTAACCAATACAATGTCGTTTGTCTTAGTATAATGTTGAATTTACATGTAAAATAATATTGTTACAATATTCAAAAAAATCAATTCACAAACCAATTCTTATAGTGTATTATTTATTTTTATA